GCTACGGGCTTAGCTAAGTGACCATTCCCCCTCACAGGGACCCCAGATTTGGCCTAGCATCTCTCTTTGTGCCCTGCTGGCTATGATTTGGCCTGTGCCCAGTTCTCTACCAGAAGGGGACACTGAAAGAAGCTTCCCCAAGGTTTATCTGATTCTCTCCTCACTGCCTGGGGCTGCAGCAAGGGAGACAGGGAGCCTACTTGCCAGGCCAGGATGAGCTGCTTTGGCACAGGAGCTAACCAGGGATGCGGGAGGCTGCAGCCCCTAAGCTTGTTTGAAGGAACACTCATGGTCAAGTACCTTACTTCAAAGAGGTCCATTAGAAAGAGGGGGATGGTGATCTGCTTGGGAGACCAGGAAGGGTTTCTTACCAGGAAACCTGACTGCTCCACAGACAGAATTTGCTTGGGGGACAGAGCCATAGAACTCTATTATTATAGCAGATGTTCCTGCAGCATGAGACTGCATGTGACTGAGGTTACAGGCTTGTAAAATGGAATAGCTTCTTGCTGGGGTGGCTTGGAGGAATAGACTAGATTAGGCAGCTTCCAGAGTCCCTTCTTGCCTGAGGGGCCTATGATTTTGTCTTCTCTGCTTGGATGGGCAGGGGGAGCTGAGTGGGGCTCACTCCTGCTGCAGTCCGGACTCAATTCTGAATTCCCTCCTTTCACACCAAGCCCCAGAGAGAGGCAGAAGCAAGGGTTAGTTCAAACAAGTATTTTGCTGCCTCACAGCTTAATAATGACGAGTAAATGCCCTGAGAACTAGGGACAGCCAGCCTAAGATGCCTTTTCAGGGCTGGGCAGACAAGCACCCACTGATCTGCAAGCACTGGGGCCCAGGCAGCAGCACTCACCTCCTTGGTCCTTGTGTCTCTAACAGGGCAGGAGGGCGGGGACTCTTGCATCTGCTCAGAGAGTTGCGGGGCTTACAGGGCAGCTTCTACTTTCATTCAGGGTAGCAAATCACAAGGTGATGTCAGGGAGTAGCAAGGCCATGGGGGGGGGGGGGGGGGGGGGGATATTTTTTTCTTCTTTTAATAAAGTAACAGGAGAGACTGAAGTTAGACATGAGAAGAAGCTTCTGCAATGAGACCCTGGAATAAGTAAGCAGTTACTTCTCTAGAGACCTCTGAGGACTTTGGAGTGTTGGTGTAGTCTAGGTTAGGTGAAGCTGTGACTGGAGGGATAGGAGATGCTGTCTGTCCTTCCAGAGCTGAGTCTTAGAATAAAAGCATAGGAAGATGTCATCTGTTGTGGTCCCTGTGTCTTAAAGGAAGCCATTAAGGAGGAAGGGTCACCCAGGAATTGTGGTGGCAACCCAGTGCCTTCCCCAGCATGCACTGCCCCTTGGCAGTCCCCAAAGCCATCCAGCCTGCACTCTGGACAAGTGCCCAAGACGGCTAAAGATGTTTTCCTCCTCTCTTCCTGAGATCGCCAGTGGGGCTCCTGCATGTCACAGGGATAGTAGTACCCTCACACCTGTGTCACTGGCACAGGTGTGATGTTTGTCTCCCCAGCTCAAGACTCAACCTGGGCCAAACACTCCTGGAGTAGTTTAGTGATCAGATAGGCATTCTTTTCTAAGGGACTTCAAAGAGTTCCGTGGAAACAGGTACCTAGGAGCCAGTGGCGGGGAGGGGCAGTGCCCCATGAACTTGTATATATGGTCATAGGCTTTGGGAAGGAAGGGCCATAAAGGAAAACTGGAGAGGAACAAAATGGGTCAGACAGATTTGCCCAGAGTCCTAGGCAGCCCCAGGCCTAAGGCACTTAGTACCCTTGGATAGGGTGCACCCTGCCTTGGTCCAAGGTGCCTCCAACTTGCCACCTGCTTCAGGGCCTGCCCAGCTTAGAGAAGCTCAGGGCTTGGCAAATGCTATGGCCTAATAGACCACTGACTATACAGCTTTTGTTCAAATGGAGCCACTCCCACGGGCCCACTGTTCCGCTCTTATACTTCTTGTATGGTAGTTATTTATTGACTCTGGTAGCAGACAGTTCGTAAATAAAGATGGTTTCTCAACCTGTCGGCTGGCAGCGGCTGTGGATTTTTATTATCACTTGGCTCTAGCACATCTCCTGTCCTGTCTGGTAACCTGAGGCCTCTATCCAGGGCCTTCAGCCATCACAGTGAATCCTGTTAGAACATGCAGTCTGTATCGCTTCATCCAGTCCTGGGAAGGGAGAAAACTGCCAGGGGACTCAAGCAGGTGACACAGAACACAGCAGGCACTTTGCCAGATGGGCTGGCTTCATCTAACACAGTGGCAGCAAACAATACCTGTGGATGGAACCGCTTTAAGGTCCCCTGGCTTTGAAAACATTTGAGGTGTTGACTCAGTGGTCCCAAAGGGAGGTCTTTCCCCTTAGAGATATCCCAACTGGGGAGCACGTGACTGCTCCCTCTGCTCTCTGCAGCCAAAGGTTGTGATTACTACTCAGTTTGCAGCCACAACTTACACGTTCAACAAACACTGATCCAACATCCACGACAGATGAGCTGTGCCTGCGGCGGCACACAGCCCTGTATTGGATTTTCAGTGCAAAACAGGTACAAAGGGGTCCATCCTGTCTCATAATTTTCTTAAGGGAGATCAAGGTGAGTGGAGAGGGCCTGTTCAGCAAGAGAAAGGTCCCATGTAGACACCAGTCTGACACAACAAGGTCACCTCTTCCTTTTTCACCCCAAGTGGATGTTGGGAGCACAGGTCACTATCGAACCCCAATTTTAGTCCAGTCGCCTCTCCTTGACCCTCTAGAGGCAAATTATATGCACAGAACTCCATTAACTGAATTTAGTTTGTCTTTGGTAACTTGTGAGAGTTTTTTGTTCTTTTCTTTGCTCAAACCCTTGAGTCAAGGGATTTGCCATCCTAAGTCAAAGTTCAAGAGCCCAAGGCACAGAGGGCAGTAAACCAAGAGCTGTGGGATAGGATCACCTGACTGCTGGTTTGCAACTGAGTGCTGGAAGCTATTTAGCTCTTCCAAGTATCAGTCTCTCCATCTGTAACATGGCAAGCAGCAGCCCTCAGCAAAGTCAATACGCAGTTCACTACATAAGATGCTGTTTCCCGACTTTGAAGTACAGCAAACTATCTCCTGAATTCTTCAGTAAAACAGTACTGCAGTAAAAAGAATCATTAATAACATTCCCAAACTTCAGTTGACCTCACTGCACCCTCATAATCACCTATTTCCAAGATAAGGCCTACAAAAGGTGTTAGGCTTGCTCCAGTACAGCCCATAGCAGACCCAGGCCAGAGTTGAATCTTCTGAACTCCCCTCTGAAGTGTGCAGATGAGAATTAAGGGTCTGTGTACAATTTAAGGTCTTTTAAAAATAACAGCAATAGTAAAACAATTCCCTGTCCATGGGCCTAAGCTACTGAGTCAATCTCAACTATGTATCATAGTCATTGATAAACCTGTTAAAAAAGATGCTTTGATCTTTTATGTATAGCTTATCATCAATAATCGTGGGCCAATCTAACACCATGAGCCACCTAATGTAACATACTAAGTATGGATCTACGTAGGGCTCTTGTCAAAAATGTCTAAAACTCATTTCTTGTGAATCTAATGTTAAAATGACAAATCCAGATTGTGGGACACCACCCAATACTATTGGACTAGCCAGACACTTCAATAAAATCAATGTCATGCCCTATGCGGTGGTGCACACCTGAAGTCCTAGAAACTTGGGAGGCTTATACAGGAGGATCACAAGTTCAAGGCTAGTCTCAGCAATTTAGTGAGACCTATCTCAAAATAAAAAAATAAAAACGACTGGGGATATAGCTCAGTTGTAACATATCTTTGGGTTCAATCCCTAGTACCAAAAATAAATAAATAAAGGGATTGAGGATATACCTCGGTGGTAAAGTACTCCTAGGTTCAACCCCCAATACCCACCCCAAAGTAATAAATTCTACAAAATCAATGTCATGAGAAAACACACAAACGCATATATATGATCTGTTGAAAAATGAAGACTTGAGAAAATATTGAACACAATACATGAAGCTTTATTAGCTCCTAGATCAAGAAATTACATCAAAAAGCTCTAAGATTTTGAAAATTGGAGCAACTGAACATAAATTATATGTTAAGACTGGGAATTGTTCATTTTTTTAGGTGTGGTAGAGGTATTGTAGTTATACAGGAGAATGTCCCTATAAGATACATACCTGATTTACTTTCCAATAAAGGGTCACAATGTCTGTGACGCTTTCAAGTGGTTCATAAAATCTGTAACTTAGGCAGTTGTTGTCAAAAAGCTAACAACTGATGAACCCTAGGCAAAGGGTTTATGGGTGACCACTATAAACCTTTCTTCTAACTTTTCTCTGGGTTTGAAATTTTTCAAAGTAAAGGAAGTAATAAGGACCCTTTGACCATAATTTAAAGTGAAGTAGCATCTCCAGAGTTGGGGCTCAGGAATCTATTTTCCAAAAAGTCATCCAAGTGATTCTGACACATGGCTCAAGGGAGAGAGAACCACCAGTCTTTGGTTCCTGACAGTTCCATAACCCAATTATCTTGGATAGTCTCAATGGTCCCCAAGAGTCTTAACACTGGATCTCGTACAGAGGAATAAGGTGCGAGTCCTCCCATGGGAGCTTTGGCTACTATCAGAGACCCATACATTGATCTTTCCAGGAGCACAAACTTCAGGGCACTGAGTAAGCAAAAATAAAGGAGCCGGGTGCAAGCCACAGAACTGCTTCAATGATCAGGTGAAGTATCTCTGTTTTGCAAGGAAATTTAATTTAACATTGAACATAGAGGGTTCACCTGGGGAAGGCAGAGAGGGCAGGTAACATTTAGGGATTATTACACACCTGAGTCAGGTGTCATTACTAACAACTTCTGCCACCTATGGGCATGGGCCCTCAACAAAGCAATTTGTCCATTGTCTACTATTAAGAAATCCAAGGGAAACTGAAGCCAGGCTGATTATGGGACCATTTAAACAAATGCAAGAAAGAAAAATGCTAGGTTTCCATATAAATTACTTTTATTGAAGAGGAAAAAATGTTTTCACTATGAGTATGCTGCTCAAGAGAGGGGAGATGGAGATGGGAAAGCACAGAGGTTAGAGAATGCAAGTTTGGAAGACAGAACTCTTCCCAGGAACAGGAGGTTGCCTGCAGTCTCCTGAGAACTTAGAGCCAGGGAGATGTGGAGCAGAGACCCACGTGGGACACAAAGCAGCTGGTGATGGTTGCCCACAGCTAGCAAGAAGCTGCTCCTTCCACACCCCTCACCCAACCTTTTGGCAGCGGGAGCCTCCCTCCTAGCTGATTCACTACCTGACACCCAGAGCATTCCCTGAAGAGCTAGCCTGGGTTTCTGGGTGGCAGTCCCTTGGGAGCAAGGCTTGTAAGCTCTTGTGGCTCCAAGTGCCATCAGTCCCCCTCCACATACCGCAGAGGACAATGCTCACCAAAATACCACCAACCACTCCACCAGTAATTCCTATTCCCAAGGCCAATGTCACCTTCTTTTGCCACTTTGGCCGGAAAGGCTTGGAATGGTTGTCCAGATTAACCTCCAAGCCCTCATCTACTAACTTCTGTTCCTCGGTAAGAGATTGAGAGAAATTCAAGTTCACCAACTTTGGAGGAAGGACCCTCAGCCCAAAATAGAGCCTCTTCACAAACCTCAAGTTTTTTAGCAGCTGCACATCACAGCGGTATGTCCCAGAATCATACTCCTGGACAGGTTTAAACCTCAAAAAATAGGATTCAGCTCTGAAGGGTCTGAAGAGCTCATCGTCAGTGGAAATGATACCCCGTGCCAATCTCCAGGTGAAGCGGAAAGCTTTCCGTCCAATCTCCAGGATGTCTGAACTCAGACAGCTAAGCTCAAACTCCTGCCCATCGAGGACGGTGAAATGCAGCATCCCACAGATCCAGTTGGTCAGACATTCCAAGCGCTGAGACTGACACTTCCTCCTCACTCCATCAGGGCCCACCTCACAGATGGTCTCCTCTTTATAGCCAAGGCCGCAAGTCACAGTACAGGTTGTAGCATTGACAATAACTTTCCCTACAGCTTTCTGAAGCTTTTCAGGGATGGCCAGTGTTTTAGGTGAAGACACCACCAATGGCGAGTAGACAGTCAACGCCAGACTTGTGAGGATGAAACCAGTGGCTGAAGTCTTCATGTCTCCACAGGCATTTCACCACCCTTAGCCAGAGCCCTCTGGGTATTCCAGTTGAATTCTCTCTGCATCATAAATGAATTCCTTCAACATGGGATGTCCTTCAAAGTCAAGAGATATATGATGCATGCACTGTCAACTAAACAATGCAACCAAATACACAAAATCTCAGTCCTTACTCACAAGTGAGGTCCCAAGGCAGAAAAAACAACAAAAAACAATCACAATGATGCTGCTGCTTTACTATCTATGCTTGTTAATGACCACCTTACCAGTCTCTGTTCCTTTCATATCCTCTTAATAGATTTAAATCCACCTCTTGAAAAGACACAGATGGAGGGCTGGAGATTGGCTCAGTGGTAGGATACTCTCCTAGCATGTATGAGGCCCTGGGTTCAATCCCCAGCACTCCAAAAAACAAAAAATCCCCACAGATGGACAAGTGAATTTCCAAATGAAGTTACATTCTCCTACCCTTTCACTCCCCTTCCATGTGGGATAATTAAAGATTTCAGGATTCCCAAGTTGAATCTGATCAAATAAAAAAAAAAATATATACCAAAGTCTAAAAAGAACAGATGGTTAAGCAAATTAAGTTCCAGTTCAATACCTTGAATTATTTACTATGAGTGCTCCTAAAGATTCTATATAAAAAGGATCAAGAACTCTGGACTGGGAGGCAAGTGACTTACCCTTTCTGAATTTCTAATTGTTTCCTCCTCCATAAATAAAGCCTTCCCCACCTATTTCAGGGAGATCACTTTTGACCATCAAATGATGCAGGGCACGTGAAAACACTCTATGAAGTGTGACACATTGGTCGGGTATAAGGAATTTTTAAAAAGAAAGAAAATTCATGAAGGCAAGGGCCAAGACGCCCTATCAGATGAGCAAGAGAGGCTGTCAAAAGTAGCACCGTTCCAAGCTGAAGGTTCTCCTCTGTCTCAGGGTACTGAAGACTTGGGCTGGGCCAAAGGATGCAAGCTGCTGCCTCTGGGCCTGCTCCCTTTGCCCCACAGAGCAGAGGGGCTCACTGATTCCTTATGCTGATGAGGGTTGCTAGGAAACAGCTATGAGGTCAAAGACAAGTTCTCAGTAATATGACAAAAAAATTAATAAACAGACACTCAGATTTGGCAGTAATTAAAACCAGACTTTTAAAGATGTTATTCTTGAGGAGACAATGAGTAGTTGGTGGATTTTAAAGCTATTTAATAGAGGAAAAAAGACGAATAAAGAGGAATTTAAGAAAGGTCCCTTGGAAGCCTGGAACTTCCTGGCATGCATTTTTGTAACCTCCAGAATTTAAACTATGGCCTCTTCAGGGTAATTAAACAAACTTACACTGAGTTAAAAATCTGAAGAGATCATTCCTAGATGATCTTTTTGATTAACAACACCTTTTGTTTCAAATCATTTATTTATGATCTTGTATAAAGGCAGAAATTTAGACTCTGTGCCCCCACCCCACCACACTCTCCAGCTCTCTAGTTCCATACAGGGCTCTAACACCATCACAGGAAGTCACATTCCCCAGTATATGAAAGTGGCTGGTGAGCTCCAGAAGTGATCAGTGTTTACAAACGAACATCTGCACCTGTTCTTTAATAAACATCCGATTTTATTTACAAAGCATTAAAGCTTCAGCAAGAAGTACCCAAGGCTACGTTTTTATCTTGTACAAAACTACAGAACATTTGAAAAACAAAATGGTGGGCAGGGAGAAGATGACAAAGGGAAGAAGAGAATATACATATATTACACAAATCAAGAAACTCAAACTGAAATGGACAAACAGTTTTAGGGGCTGAAAAAAAAAATCCCCAAAACATAAATAATTATCAGGAGCTGCTGCCAGAGATAATCTGACAGGACGTGATTTTCTCAGTAGCCAGTTGAGGAGTTGGACAGAGTATAAACACCAAATGCCCAGGTGAGGAAACCAAACTCCTTCATACATAGGAGTAAGGCAGAAACCCTTTGTATCAGTCTCCACACCACTACAGTGTGCAGCACAGAGAACGGGAATGAATATAATGTCTGCAAAACAGAAACATGTCCAGTGAGCCACCTGCCAATCTTAACCACTGTCCAATTCACGTGAAATTCACGAAATGAGCACTTGAAGAAGTAGCAGTAGCAACTAAAAAATTCAGGAAGAGTTCTGACTTCTGGGAAAAATAAAAAATATATATATTCTGAAAGATGGGATGGGAAAAAGAGGCCCTTACTGATGTGTTCTACTTTGATTTCTATCCTACAATCTTAAAAAATAATCAATGTGTTTGGCTACCTAAAGGAGCATCCACCAACTGATAAAGACTTCCCAATAATCGTAGTATTTAAATTCTCCTTTGAAAATACTGAGAAAATGATGATCCCGGGTAAGTACTTTGGGTCAGCTAAAAGCTCTACTCAGGCTACTAAGCCCCTTCCACACCTGGTTTCCTCACTCTGGAGTTTCAGAAAATTTCAAATACCTAATGTACACATCCATCCAATCTGCTACTTTTTATTTAAACAATAGCAAAAAAAAAAAAAAAAAAAAAAAAGCTAAGCAACCTTTCACAGAAAGGAAGTGACTGGAAAACACAGCAAGAAAAAGGAGCACGAATGCATGGATGCAAGAGGGGAAAGATGCACTGGCTGATGGGGACAGGTTTCCATAGGCAACAATAAAAAAAAAAAAATTTACCTTGATCTTTGATTTGAACTGTTTTGCTGCTTTGATTTTGGAATCTGTACTTTAGTCCTTGCACAGGTTCCCCCACCCCAATAAAAAAGAAGCTTGTTGAGAAACACCTTGTTTTGTTTCCAACTCTGGAAGCCAGCACAGATAAGGTAATATAAAGTGTTGATGATTCTTGGCTGGAGATGGATAAAACTAGTTATCTTCAAAATCCATGATTAATGAGACTGAACCAATACTGGAGAAATATGCAATGCAAGAAAAAACCCTGAATCTCCTACTGCCCAGCTTCTTGAGCAAAATATATGACAGGAAGAGGGGGCCTTCTTATCTTTCTTCTTTTCCTGTAAATTTGAAATCTTTCAAGCACTTTCTTTTCTGCCCAACCTTTGTACACTAAATGGAAATACAGGAGTTATCTGAGATAGGGTACATTTAAAAATGAAAAAGAATATGCAACAGAAGTTTTCCTAGGATATTGGAAACAAAATTTCAGATAAGAACAAGTCACTCGAGGACATGCATTGAGGACGGAAGGCAATCAGGAGACAGGAAATGATATGTCAAAATGATTCTGGGTACAATAGCTAGATGAACAAAACATAGGTATCTTTTCTCCAGCAACACAACCAAGCGTTGAAGTTTATGTGAGTCAAATCTCCTACTGGATGCCTTCACAAATCCTCGTTCCTGAGAGCCTATTTGGACTTATGCTTGAAAGGGAAGGTAAGGGACATATACTCTTCTTCCATAATTCACTTCTTCATTCAAACATAAAATTCACTCCTTCCACCTCCTGGGTGGGAGGCAGAGGCCTTTGTTTTAAGTTAAAGTCAATCTCAAATAACTGACCACACTGTCCAGAGGCCACCTGATGGCAAGTGAGGAAGAACGAAGAACTTCAAGGTCTTCATAATAGTTCTGAGATTGCTCCTCCTGCTAAAGAGATTAGACACAAAAAGAATTCTTTTACCATCAATTCAGATCAGTTACTTCTAAGAACAGAAACACTGATGGATGCTGCACTCCAAGCATATATGCGCCAAGAATGTCCCCCCTTTAAGGAAAAGTTATAACCAATTCCAACTCCTAATTACTCTTTATTGAAGCAACAAATAATCTAAACCCCAAATCTCCACCCCAACACTTTTTTCAGTACTGTCCCAAAGGGATGGGGGTGGGAGGTAAAGCTAAGCTGCTGACCATTCTCTATGGTGTTAGAAAGAATGCTTAGCAATCAAAAGGGTGTGATAAACAGAAGAAAGGAAAAGTATTGAACTTTTTCTATATTAGACTAAAACAGTCACTAAATGATTAACAATGAGAAACCCTGTCCAAGTACCACTGTTCCTTAAGTGACATTTCCATCACCTGAGAATCCCAAATAAAGTGAAATGTTAATTAAAGCTATTGTCCATATGTCTACACACCAATAACTAACTGATACACAAAATCCTAAATAGTAAAATCAAATCACCACTTCCCTGTTTACTCTACAGAAGCTGTTCAACCTCCTAGGGATGTCCTTAAATGAACTGTTGTAAAATTATAAACTAGGAAGTGTAAAAAGAGAACAAGGTGAAGAAAACCCTCCCAGATGTCACTTGGAATGGGAGAAAATATACTGCTTAAGGGTAAAAAGCTAAAAAAAAAAAAAAAAAAAAAAAAAATTGCCCAAGTTATGAAGGAAAACTATCCATTTATTAAAAAAATAGCTTAAAGTTCCAGTATAAATGAAATTAGTGTTTATAAAAATATATTCACATTTGCCTGAGAATAGCCTGAAATGAGTACAAGATACAACATTCTGTCCCTGATACAAGCTCTCTGCTGAATACTACACTGTTAAATCAAATTAAAAAATTTATGTAGCACCTGTTTTTCAGATCACTCCCAAAATAAAACATAATAATAAGTTTGAGTTTGTTTTAAAAAAATCTTAAGATAAAAGAATATACTCTACAAAGCTCAATATTGTGTGTTTACCCACTTAAAGGCTAGTCTCACTGATTTTTCCCATAGGTACGCTGATCCATTTAGTTTTAACAATTTGGAAAGAGATACAACATTGCCACTGTAATTCTAAATCATGATGGGAGAAAGTGGCTTGATCACAAATCAATGGCCTTGGGCTGGGGTTGTGGCTTAGTGGTAGAGAGCTTGCCTAGCATGCATAAGGTACTGGGTTCAATCCTTAACACCACATAAATGTAAAATAAAGATTTTGTGTCCACCTAAAGCTAAAGAATAAATATTAAAAAAAAAAACCAAAAAAACATATCAGTAGCCTTAATAATGTACACTCAAAATGACTAAGCACCTTATACTGATTATCTGTGTAATTTGTGTTTCAGTAACATCCTTATTCTTATGAAAAGACATAAAATAAAAACATACATACATAGGCTTGTTGAGGCATTAGGCACAGAACAAAACCAGAGCATACGATACCAAGCAAGGTAAAATACACAGAAATAGCAACACAGAAGACCCGCAGCAGTTGCCTGAAGGGAACACACTGGTTAGCTACAACATAAAGGAAATCTTCAGTAATATAATATTAAGGAGTTCAGTTTAAGATGAATAGCCATTTTGGGTACCTCCTAATAGCAGCCTCATCCAGGGTAGCTTAAGAGAATGCAGGATCATGATTTTCAAACTCTACCTTATTTAGCTAATAAGATCACATGAGAAAGAATATCCAACTCGCTGAGTTTAGCAAGATTTCATAAAATTAGTCTTTGAGACTGTTCATAAAAAAGAAAACAAAACACACACCTTACTCATTAACAAATGATTAAAACAATTGGGTTCTGTGACTTGTAGGTGATAGCAGAGCATCAGGGAGCAGTGGTGCAGAATGGCCCAAGGCAGGAAAATCTGCAATGGTGTCTGCTGGCCCCCAGAAGCAACACCTCTGCTCACTTTGGCCTTTGCTACCCAGAACAGACCCAAGTACACACCAATCCCTCATGCTCACCATCCCATGAGGCCTTTAGGCCATGTATGTGATAGACCAAAACTTTGTGTTACTTTGCTCCTGATGAGCCAAATTCACCACCCTAGGTGCCCTATTTCTTAGGCTACATGGAAACGCGAGTCTGCTCACATCTTGTTTCTTTCTAGGACTCTCCTCTGGAGAGTAGCCAATGTACTGAAGAACAGACATTTGATAGATGGCACTGATCCGCCAGCCTGGCCTTTCCCTGGGAAGTCCCGAGCTCCAGGGTTACTCCTGCCATGCTTCACTGATGGGTCCTCACTCAACACAGAAACTATATCTTCATGAATGTAGGCACTCAGTTGCTAATCCAATACTAATGAGCTGTTTGATAGGAAAGAATGTTCTGTAGCTCTAGATTCCAGGTGAATTCTACGGTGATTCATTTGTCTTCCAATTTTCCCTTGAAATGCACCATATCTCAACACACACACAGCAGCTCTGAGAGTTTTGTGGAACAGGTTCTATAGCAACTGGCTAATTGCAGATATGAGCAAACAGTTGCCACCCATCTAGCCTGGGTAGCATCACAACCTACACCTAAGACCCTGCCTTCAAACAATCTGGTTTTAAAACAAAAGTTGTTCCATTAAATAAAGGGGGTTTACGAAACATGAAAACTCTCAGACTAGATGGATTCCTAAAGATAGTTCGGTCTCTGGCATTCTGAATTAGGTTTCACTTCTTAGTACCCGTTGGGAAAGCAATGACTACATACGGACTTTTATGGAAAAGCTTGAAGGTAATCTTTTATTGAAAAATCTTCTGTGGAAGAATGAGATCCAGATGCCAGTTTCCCTCAGGGGC